CCTCCAGGGCAGGAGAAGTTTAACTGAACTCAGGCCTTTGCTCTACACAACATATGGAATGGTGTTCCCAACAAATGACCACCTCAACCCAAAAAGGGGATGTGAGAGAGTCTCACACCCAGAGGGAGGGATCTCCAAGATGGGTCTCTAATCCTGGAACTAACTGAAATCCTGAAATAGTCTACTGCGAAATAATGGGAGCAGGAGCACCAGGAGACCGCATCCGTGTCCTGTACCTGAGGCTGTCCGAGAAGGCCTCCACGCCGTGCTTGGAGATGCAGTAGCCACCACCAAAGAGCGAAACCCGTCCCATGACACTGGAGACATTGAGCACACGGCCTTGTGCCTTTCTCACTAAAGACAGCAGGCTCAGAGTCACCTCAATGACCCCCAACAGGTTCACACTGAGTATGTTCATGAAGTCCTGCTTGTTCAGCCATTCGTTGGGAGCCGTGCGTAAGGAGGTGCTGGCATTATTCACCAGGCCCCAGAGTCCTAGGAACAGTGCAAAGATGAGAGAGCCACACTGAGTGTGTCTGTGGTCACAGTTATGGCTCAAACTCACCTTGCAGCAATGGAAAGAATTCTCTCCTGGGAAAGGAGGACAGAACACAAACAACCCAGTATCTGCAAGACTCAGGCTACACATGTTGGAGCTGCTAGCTGACAGAGTTGATGCCTTCCTCTATCTTTGACTCTTTGTGGCCCAGCTCACTGCCAGGGAGGTAGCAGAAAATCAGCTCATATTTGATCATTAGAAGAGTAGATGTTGAAGAAATACTCTGCATCCACTAGTCTGTAAACACGGAAACAATGATTGGCTTTTTAACAAATTAATATAACCCTGCACACACTTTATTTCTTCACATTTTTTTAAAGCAGCCTATTCACATTTCTCCCATGCAGTTACCAAGGGCAAAGGAAGACAGAAGAGAAGGAGAAATAGGCAAGGAGAGAAAGAGGAAAAACAAGAAGGAAGAAAAGACAAGACTAACATGTCAGTGGAATTTGGTTGCAAAAAAAAAAAAGGCTGACGTCCTTCTGGGGGAAAATTTCAAAGATTCCTGTGTTTGTCCACAGGAAACTGACCTTGAAAGCAGGGGCACTGACATTGAGCCACCTTCCTGAGAGTGAGCTTGCAAAGCACAGTGGGAAACTTTTGTATGGCACACAGATTCCTCCTTCCTCCCCATCACACTACACAACTCCACACTGTGCCACAGAGAATGGTGGCCCTGTTTCCAGTCTCTGAAGGCCATCCTCCCTCATCCTGCATGGTCCTCACATCACTGATATTCAGGTGGCCACTCTGGATAGCCCCCCCACACCTCTGGGAACAAACAGTATTTGCCTCCCGCAGAGCAGAGAACTGCACTGGCTGGTGAACAATGGACCCAGGGCGAAGTGTGCCGCACACCAATCTGTAAGAGATGGCCAGGTGGTCTGCATCTCTCTTCCTCAGGAATTCATCCTGCCCTCGAATGAAACAAACTCCTTCCCTAACACACTTTATCTCAATGATACTCACAAATATACACATGCAAGGAAAGCCCGCCAAGATGACATTAATGACAGTAGAACATCAGAAACAACTCCCACATGCAACCATTCTGTATGTTTAAATGAGGGCGGCTGTACTGAACCACAAAACATTCTTCATTTGGTAGTAAAATTGCTCATCATCATTTTTAAGTGAAAATATTAGGTTTGAACTGTGCACAAAATATAATCCCGTATAGGTCAAAGAGTTAATAATATTTCTGTCTGGGAGGTGAGATAATGTTGTTATGATTTTATGTATTCCGCTGTTTTTAACAACAGCCATAATTGGTATCTATTCCTGGTTGAAATCAAACAGTGCTCCTTTATTCCCCAGGAACAACACTGACAAAATAGTTTGGTGAAAGAGAAAGCAAAAGTGAGCCCCAGATTTTGGCTGTCCTAAACCAGTTTGTAATCTCTTAGCTGTTCTGAAAATGGGAAGATCTTAGTTCTCCGGGTGGAGGATGCTGGGGATCCAGTGAGAACAGGTTGCGGTGCTGAGACATGAGCTCAGCTCCAGCATGGCGCCAGGCACCAAACAGCCCAGCGTACCAGTGCCCAGCCATCCTCCTGAAAGATACCCCATTGCTAACCAAGCAGTCAGCATCCAGCAACCAGAACTTCTCCTTAGAGAGACAGGCAGAGGACAGAGAGGAAATCTGGACAGAGAGGCCAGATTCCCAACAGGGCCCCTCTCAGCAGGACTCAAGGGCTCCAAGGGCCACAGGAGAGAGAAGGGGCTCAGGCTACCACTGTAGGGAGAGGAAGGACATTAGTCTCACTTCAAGCACCACTTCCTCAAAATTCCTTTAGAATCTCACCAGGGAGCACACAGAAAGTTCCCCTTCACACACACAGAAGAAGCCCAAAGACACAAACAGGAATCTGGGTGGTACCTCGGTCCCCCACGCACTCCTTCACCCACTGGGTGGCTGCAGCAATGCTCTCTGTCTGGGTGACATCCAGGATCACTGTCTGCAGCCGTGCTGACGTCTGCTTCCTCAGCTGCTCGGCCCCTTCTTCCGTCAGACACGCGGCCAGCACCCTCAAGCCTCGCACGTCCAGCTGTCTGGCCAGCAGGTTTCTGAAGCCCGAGTCACAGCCAGTGATGAAGACATATTTGTCTTGCAGGTGGCTCACCACCTGCCTCTCCCGGTACCAGCGCACAAGGTAGAACAAGCCCACAAAGGCCGCCACATACAGCAGCATGACTTCGGCAAAGCCAGGAACAGGCCCAGTGGTGCAGGACAAGAGTGTGGCCTGTGTTCAGCCAGAAAGAGAAGAGGATGAGAATTCATAGAGCTGGGGAAGGCATGTAGCCTCCAATGCCATGGCATGGAGCCTGCATATTACTCCTTAATTACTGTCTTTCTAGAACATATTTTTTTAATTAATGGTGCCCCACCTCCCTGCCTGCTTTTTTTTATTGCTATCCTTGAATAGCCTATCTACTGTCTCCAAGAAAAACATGACTAGTCAGCAGCCTGTGTTTGTACAAGAGTTCCTCCCTGCCTTTCTGTGCCCTACAGAAATCCATGCACATCTTGTAGCACATGGACCTCTCCGACCAGGTTCTAGGTTCAGACTGTCTGCTCAGGTCAGTACCTTGCTCAGGTCAGCACCAAGTTGAGGACCTCCTGAACACAGGTAGGTGTTGTTGGCAAACTACAAACAGAGCCAGGGCATATTTACAATGAATTTTCTCTCTGAAGTCAAGTTTCCTCATCAACTTCATCACTCTAATTTCTAGAGTGCCTCCTCTGGAAATTAGTGGGGCATAAACAGGAACAAATCAAATTCTCTAAGACTTGGAATCCAGACACTGGAAAATAATAACTTGGGAAGAAAAGGAATTTGGTATACCCCTGGGACCCAGGAAAGACCTGAAGGAAAATTAAAGCTAATAGAGAAAGTGAAGGGACAGATCACAACACGGAAAAAGGAGGGGCAAACTACTCTTTCCCTCCGGTTCCTAGCTCGTGGCTTGAGAGAGGAGAATTGAATGTACAGAATCACAGTAGGGGCAGATGACTCCAGAGACCTCCAGGGATAAATGTGCTAGTGGAACAGAACAATGTGTAGGGACAGTGAGAAAGGCAGATAGGCAGGGACAGTGGTCATGAAATGACTGACAGGTCTAGAAATGACTACATGCTTACTGGAAATTGCCCTTTGTACAACCTTTACAGGTATAGAACAATTATTCTTAGACCCACTTGCATGCATAAAGCCCCTAGACCCCATGAAATTTTAGCTCACTCTAGCAAGAACTCACCTTGGCAAGAGCTCACCCTAGCAAGAGCTTACCTAGCAACAGCTTATCCCCCCAGCAAAGGTTAAGACTCTGGTTGGCTTGGAAGCCCTACAAGAATAGCAAGAGTAAAAAGCCCATGTTGAGAATGCCAGTTGGGTTCTCCCTGCCATGTGACTTGCCTCTTGGCAGCTTTTCCTCCACCTTTGTCAGCCATCTCATAAATAAAATAATAGCTCTTGTTGTTTTTTCCTTTGTTCTTTCACTCCTGTCTTCTTCACCAGTTTCCCAAAGCTTGGGTAATCTTCTTTTACCCTTCAGCCTTGCTTTTAATCTCTTTCTCTTCTTTTATTTCTCTATTTTTTCCTCTTATCCCTTTTAAATTTTCTTCCTGATGATAAAATCTCTCTATTGAGTGGATATTCACAATATATATTTTTTGTGTTAGATTTTGTTATATAACTATAAAATCTTATACTTGTGGTTATAAGTGACAAATTAACAGTTACCACACTTTATCATTTTCTAGACTGTGCTTGATAGGATTATTATTATTGATTGTGCTACTTTTGCCAAAGTGACATGGTTGTTGTGGTCAGTTGTTCTTTCTTGTATGCCAATACTGAAATTTTCTGGGGTTCATAAACAATATAATAGTGCAGTATCAAATAACTGAGTGCTAGACCAAGCAGGTAGTAACATCTCATCCCTAATAAATTGAAGAGTTAGAATGTTGGGACAGATTCAAATGCCAAAAGTCAGCTATGTCTAAAAGACATCTCTGAAAAGTAGTCATTTCCTAAAGAGGTCTGGATACTAGTAATAAATCTACCTACCATAAGCAATTTATGTCAGCACAGAAAACAAAATTTAAAAATATAAAATAAGAAAACACAGAGGCAAGAAGTAACCCCAGACCTGCAGCTCACCCAG